GACGAGCTGCTTGTGCCCATGAGCCTCTCGTGGGATTAAGCCCCCTGCTCGGCTCGGGCTCGTCATTTGACGAGCCTAAGCCGTCGACGAGCGGAGTTTTAACGAGTCGACGAGCCACTCGATCCGTTTGAGATCCCTAAATGTACAGAGCTTGTGTACCACTACAGCATTAAGTGTTGTACATTTTGTTGTCCTTGCATTGCTTTTTTTGTGTTTCATGGTGATTATTTTGCGGCTTTAAAATGAAATGACAACGCCGAAGGGTGCCAATTTTTATGGCATGGTACAACAAATTGATTTTGTACGCTTCAAAATAGTGCCTCTCTGGCATCATATCTTATTTCCTGAATGTTTGCAGGGTGGGCACCCCTACATTGTTTTTCTTTAATCCTATGTTGGTTTTTATATGGACCTAGCAAATATTAAAAATATTATAAAGATGAAAATAATATAAAAAATAATGTAGAATAAAAAAATAATATTTTTTTCAATAAAATCATGTGAAAATAATGAAACAATTTTTTCAATAAAATCACGTGAAAATAATGAAACAATTTTTTCAATAAAATCACGTGAAAATAAGAAAACAATATTTTTCAAAAAATTCACCATAATTTAGGGCACAAAATCTAACAATCTCCATTGATCCAAATCTCAGTGCAACGAACAAAGTTCCAAAATTTCTCCATCTAAAAAAATATGTCCGATTGCATTGAAATAACCAAACTTCTCAAATAGAAACCAAACTTTCAACCTCACAAAAAAAATCATCCTCTGCTCGACGAAATCTACATAAATGCCTTATCAAAAGGGCCCTTGCTAAAACTATCAATTTCAAAGTTCTCGAAAGCATTACGGACATCTTAACATTGTACCTACGCTTAATGGATCCAAGCCTAGCATTTGAATGCAGTGTATCCACTGAAATTGGTAACAAGAAACAATCACAAACGCTTTCTCTAGCTTTGTTTTGAACCAACTCAGAACCCGTCACAAGAGGTACTGTACCAAATTGAATTTTCATCATGGTACCAAACTTGTCCAAATGTCTCCAAATTGGTTTTGTGTGCCTCTAAAAGATGTACAATTGAGACTTCTTTCGTCCCTCTAGTACAACACAAACATCCTTTTAGACCTTCAAGATTTCACCTTCACAAAATAATTTATACCATTTTGAATCCAGAGTACTCAGCGAAATGAGATTCTTTTTCAAGTCTGTAACATGTCGATCTTGGCCAAGTATTCTGACAGTCCTATCCTGCAATCTCAATTTGACCCGACCGATTTTAGCAACTCGATAAGACTAATAGTTTTTCATGGCAACTTCACATTGCGTAACCGCCTTATATGCCTCAAACAAGTCCCTATTGGACGCATATAGAACGTGCATGATGAATCCAGAATCTACTCCTCGTCAGGCTTAGACTCCATGTCAAATACGGTCAGCACATCTCCACCATTCGAAAAGCCCTCAACAATATTAGTCTCATCCGAATTATCTGTTTACCTCCCACGATTTGCAGCTAAATTACCTTTAACCTGCAACTTGTCGCAATCCTTTTGATATGTCATTTCCTCATGCAGTAGAAGCAAAATCGATTGCTAAAGTTCACCCTCGAGTTACCCCTCCATCGATCACCATGAGACACCAAAGCTTCCTCATCCCTAGATGCAGCTCCAATCAGACGCTTCATCTTCTCATTTGAAAATAAAGTATAGTGTGTCACGACAGTATAAAATCGTGTTCTGAAACGACGAATACGAAGCGGGCAGCGATCACAACAGGATCAAGGCCAAATTCGATGGGAATACAATCTCTACTTTAGATGCAATTTGCTCGTCGGACTTTTGGTTATGCACAACTATTCTAGTTTCAACCACAAAGTAGCAGTTATTTTCTCATTCAATACGTCGTGAGGAATGTTGTTGGAAAGGTGAAGATGTATCTGCAAAAGAGCCTTCCTATCCTTCTGTTGCTTCTCATCCATTATCCAATTTGCTGACATCTTATCAAAACCTAGCAAAGCATCGTCTAAATCCATCTGCACCGACACAGCCCTCATCTTTACTTGCCCCAGCGAGAATCTCTTATTGCAATCCAATAGCGAAATATCAAATTTCAATGTAGCCATTTCTAAAAAATCACAATCAAATCACAAAAAACCTGCATCTTAGCTCTGATATCACTTGTTAGGAACAACTAAGTTACCAGAATTGTTCTGATACCACTTATTGGACCCGGAGGCAATGCAAGAATTGAGATTTAATGACACAATATAAAATATGTGATATAAACAAAATCACAACGATAGAAATAAGATTAAAGTAAATAAATTGAAGAGAGATTATAAGAGGAATCAATGTTTAATTAAAGACAATATGAAAAGAGAATAGAAGAATTCAACAATAAAGTTTCACCTAAACTGAATGAAAAGCCACATATTACATAGGGACATACCAAATCGTAAAAATATTATAAAGATGAAAATAATATAAAAAATCACGTGAAATAAAGGAAATAATATTTTTTTTCAATAAAATCACCTGAAAATAAAAAAACAATATTTTCCAATAAAATCAAGTGAAAATAAGGGAATAATATTTTCGAAAAAAAATTCACTATAATTTGGAGCACAAAATCTAACTGGGCAAGTATGGTATGGGTGACCCGTTATATATATCTTTTCTAGTCATCAAACTTATAAATAATACCTTCCAAATTAACCCAAAATTTTCCCTTAACTAAAAAAAATAAAAAAATTCCGTTCATAAGTATTTTTAGGAAATTGGAGGTAATGGCAAAAACTGGTCGTACATCATATTAACTTTTCCATGTCCGATGTGTAAGTTTCATTAAAAAGCTTGCGAACAGTTGTCATGTAAGAATACCAATGTTGAAGGAATTAATGTCGTCATGTGTAGACACGCACGGATGATTGAGAGAAACAGGTTTCAAGTTTTTCCTTCTCTACGAAAATCATTACATTGCTACGTGCTGTAGCTATTAATTAATATTGAACCACATGATATAACATGTTCGACTAAGTTCAAAAGTTTATTTATACAAAATTTTTTTGAAATAAGATTAAAGTAAAGAAATTGAAGAGAGATTAGCAAAAGAATTGATGTTTTATTAAAGACTTGAAGTGAATACAAGAATTCAGCAATAAAGTTTCACCTAAATTGAATGAAAAGTCACAAATTTATAGGGACATATCGAACTCTAAAAATATTCTACAGATGAAAATAATATACAAAATAATGTGAAATAAAAGAAAATAATATTTTTCCAATAAAATCATGTGAAAATAATAAAACAATATTTTCAAATAAAATCACGGGAAAAATAAGAAAATAATATTTTCGAAAAAAATCCACCATAATTTAGAGTACAAAATCTAACACTAAGCCTCTAGAGACAAGTTTGGTATGGGCTTGACAAAATGTGATCTAACTCTGCCATTAATATATAGCTGCATAATGTAAACATGCATATGAAACTAATGAATTGCATGAAGAGAAGAACTTGGTGGGAAGATTGAAACTATGTATAGTCTAAACTTATTGACATGCATTTCCATAATCTTCTTCAATTTGTGCAGGCCACAGCACAAATGCCCAAGGTCTGTTCCGGACTATATAGCCCTGAAATTGCAACACTCAATGACACAAGAAATATATGAGTTCATTCTCTAACGACTAGAAACTTTTAAATGAAATGGTTCAACATTCATCAAAGTCCAGTAACTTAATGGAATCGAAATAATCATAATCACAATAAAATGAAAACTGAACATCTGATACATGCTAGATGGGAGGGCTGGACAACAAAGCATGTTCACAACGGCGGAAAAGAAAAAGGAGACAACTGGCTAGATTGAATAAGGTGTTGAGGTAGAAATGAGTTAGGGAGAAGTTAGAGAGAGAAAAGAAAACTAATTGATTTACTTGAAAGAGTTGCCACAGCTTATTCGAGCACGAGGCGCTGTGGTGTTGAAGTAACCTATGTCCCTCGGTAACGAAGGTAAACAACGTACAAAGAAGTACCAATGTCTATATTGGTGCTGGAGCAAGTTTCAATGAACCAAGTAAAATGAAAAGGGCATAGAATCAAGGAATTGAGTTAGAAATATGGAGCCAAAATTTGATTTTAAGATCCCCACTACTATTTGTTCACACTTTAAGAGTGTAACAAATAGCTCGTTATAATATGTAGATTTTTCTGTGTCTTTAATTTTGCAGAATTCATATATATGGTCCCATTTATTTCTCATTTTTAAAAGAATGAGAATGAAAAATATAGTCGTTACAGGTTCCATACAAGAAATGGAAATTCGAATTTGTTGGTTTGATACAATGGATAACGGTCATATTTTTCATTTTAATGAAAAAATAATGGGAAACAAACGAGGACTATATATATATATATCCGTTGTTGCAAAGTCGTTGAATAACCAAATTGGGGTCCCAAAAAAGAAAACAGAGTTTATACTTCAGCCGATGTATCACTCTTAACTTGTAAAAATTTTAAGTGTTTATAAGCGATTAAATCTTATAAAATATGTCAATAAAAAAACTTTTTATCAACCAAACTTATAATTTAAGCTTTACGAAATATATATCCACTCCATTATAATGAGATTTTGCAGAAAAATGTATTTTGAAATAATTATTTTTTAGAAAATATGTGATTAAAAAATAAGTAAAATTTTGAGTTTACGTATAATATTATTTTATAAAAATATATATATAATTAAATTTTTTGTTTTTTTAGATGTATATTTGGAAAATCGAAGACCAAGGGCGTACAAACTTTACTCAAAATATATATATATATATAATTAAATTTTTTGTTTTTTTAGATGTATATTTGGAACATCGAAGACCAAGGACGGACAAACTTTACTCATTGTCAAATTGATAACCGGCCCCTTCTCGAAGGTAACGGATAAGGATAAGGGAAAAATTAAAATAAAACAAAACAATCAATCACAAAACAGATGTCAGCACAAAGGATTGCTCATTCTCTCTCCCCGCCGTTGGGATTTGACATCCAGCCCACTGCCCACGCCCCCGAAAATAGAATCTTCTCAACTCACCGCTCACTCCTATTTATGAATCATTTTTGAGAGTTGAGATTCGTGCGAAAAGTGTGTGATTATAAGAAATCATGATACTGGTGGCGCTACTGACGGAGTTTCTGGAGGAGTACACGGTGTTGCTGGCCAGAGTGTTGGAGCACGTATTCCACCGGGCGCCGCTGCCTTTTCCTCGGCGAGTTCGCTTTCTCATCCTCAGACATCTCTCTTTTGCTTCTTCTCCTTCCACTTCCAGGTTCATCAGAGCTTCTTCTGCATAGCCGCTTAGTTACTATTGTACAAAGATTTTCTGATTAATTCTCCCTTGTTCTTTCGTCGTCTGTGTATTTTTAGATTTCGACTTGTACCTATGGTATCTGAGTTTACTTTATCTTTTTAGAGTAGATCAATCGAGCTACAATAATTATATGAATAATGCTATGCAGCCTGGGTATCAGTGATGACAGATTTAATTGATCCTATGTTTGACACCTAGTCTAGCCTTGTGTTAAATATTACTATTTCAATTTTGTAGCAGACTGGTCAAGTTGAGGACTCGACTAATCTCGATAGGTATTAGTCTGATTACGACAAAATCATTCTATTAGATCGAATACATAGCTAGATGAGTTAAGCTAAGTCCACACCCAAATAGCTTGACATCATTTGAGGTGTCAAGATCAAGATCATTAATATGAGTAAGTAGGTGTACAACTAGTTTGACACATTTTGAGCTATTAAAATTTAGGTCATTAATTTGAAGGATTATGTTATTTGTATATAGTACCTAAGAGATTACATAATTTGATAGGGAGGGAAAAGATTGAATAAAAAAATTGATTGTATTTTAAGCTGATAAATGAGAGTAACAATGTGGCTCTTTTGTTATTCATTATGTGAAGTTTGATGGCATGTAACAAAGTCCTAATTTGAATAAGGGTTGTTAAAATCAATGTAAAAAAGTATGTCATGTCAAAGAGTATAAATAAAGTTATCAATCATGATGTAAGTGTAATAAAACTATATTTAGATAATTAGATGGCTCATGAGTCTAGACAATTTGAAATTTTTTGACAAGCTGAACTACTTGATCCATTGGTCACTCGGGGCTTGTAATATGACTAGTTGAGATGAATTTTGAATGGGAAAATTTCATATATAAGAGGTCAATCATGATCAATTTCAAAATTAAGAAACAATATTTAAAATTTCAAAAATTAAATATTAATTAATTTTATTTATGAAATAATTAATTAAAAATATATTTCACCAATTGAATATATATTATATTAATGTTACAATTCTATATTATTTGATTATAAATTATCAAATTAATTGATCATAAATTATTTTTCAATTACAAATTAAAAATTTTAAAGGTCAGGTTTTATAGGCTGCAATTATTCATCTGTCACAAATAAAAAAACTATATGTCATAATTTATTTATTGGTTGCAAAAAGTTTTATAAGTCACACCACAAAATTTTAGGTCACATTATTTATTGATCACAATCTCAAATAAATGGTTACAAGTTAATTAATTTATTAATTACAATCAATCAAATAATTTGTGACCACCATTACCTATCCACCACATCGTACACAGCACCACCTTCAAACACCATTACTATCAGAGCCACCCCTGTCAAATCCCAACAATCGATCAACACAACTGCACAGTCAAGGCTACCACCACGTGGCCAACACTACTGTATCATTGCACACAGTATCACATCACGTACCACATGCACCCAACCATCGCACCACCACGAACACCCTCCCCATCCCATCCATGACACGACCGCTACAAATGTTACGTCGAAAGACCACATCAACGTAGAAACCATATCACCATAAACCACAATCACTACCAACCGAACATCCCGCTCGCATCGCACCGCACTGCCAGTGACAATGACAGCCATTGATTCGCAATCACAATTCTGAAAACACATATCCAAAATACGAATCCGACCATACCCAACCACCAAACACACCGACAATGATAGCCATTGATCCAAGACCACAAATCCAAAACACGAATTCAAATTTTCCAGCGCCAAAACACAAATTCAACTCAACACCAAAAGCACAGCTTACTCTGCCTCCAACTCCGTCAACTATTGTTGCAGTGCTCACATTGGATACTGCTGCGACGCTTACATCAAGGCATGGGTATGCAGTGACGATTGGAGGTGGCATCCGACGACGGACGCACCAACGCTTACAACGGTTTGAGGGAGAGCGTAAAGAAAGAGGGGAGTTGAAGAGAGGAGAAAGTGAGAATGGAAAGGAAAGGAGATAAAATGATTTAGGATTTGGATTGGGTAGATAGAATATGGTGTGTATATAAATTAATTTATAATATTATTATTAATTTATAATATTTGAATTAATATCTTATTTATGTATAAATAAACTTTAGATCTGATTTTTGAATTGAAAAGTTAAAAAACGTGTGGGTGTAATTTCCACGTTCCGAATTTGTCACAAGCCTAACTCGCTAGGCTTGTGAGCTACATAAATGCGAGTGTTTGGTTGACCTTAAGCATAGGTCTAGGCTTGGGATGGATTGGTTCGTGTATTTCAATGTTTGAATTATCTATTACATTTTGAGTTTTATGTATCAAGTCCACATAAAATACTGAAATCAAATTCGAGTATTTCAATATCTGAATCATCAATTACAATTCAAGAATTTTGGATCAAGTTCACATAGATGAAATTGTTTGATTTTAAAGGAGATCTTATATAATTTCGTAAATGAGGGGTGATTTCTTGATTTCGTCCAGTCATTAATACCGTAATGTTCAAATTGTCGAGTACGTTTTGTGTTCAATTCAGCATAAAAAATTTCTTAAAAACGGTGAGTTCTTGAAGAAATAAAAGAAATTAAATAGCCATCAAATAAAATTTAGAGCATGTTACATGTTTGAGCTCCAATATCATTTTTTTTTTCAAAAATGCATTTTGACATAGTAATTTAATGAAAGATATGTAGTTCAAAAATAAGAAAAAGTTTTGAATTTGGCAAATAGCATTCAAGACTTAGCCCCAAAAAAAAAATAATAAAAAAAAAAATGCACAACACCGAATGACATATCCCGAAATTAAAAATCAACAATTTTTACAAATACTAGAGCTAACATAAATTCATTGACATATCCCGAAATTAAAAATCAACAATTTTTACAAATACTAGAACTAACATAAATTCATTCATTTGAATACAACGCAATAATCAATATTGACAATTTTTTTTTTCCTTTCAATCTCATTATTTTCTTTACATCCTATTGGATCATTGGGAGTAATTTATACCCTCTCTTCCATTTGTCCATATATTAGTTTAAATTGAATTCAACATACCGCTGAAAATCGGTAATTTAAACAAACTCGTGCGTGCTTCCAAGTCTAACAGCAAATGGAGAAAATGGTAACAATTAGTCTCTGTTTGTTTACATTATATTTTCTATTGAACTTGGAATTCGAATTCTAACTCCTACTTTTGGCCTGTTTGATTAACAAAAATTTTCAGGGAATTGATTTTCTTTGATTTTCTAGATACAAGCTGGTAAAACATGAAATTTCACCTTTTATTTTTCCATGGGGTAGGTGATTTTTGGAATTCCACATTTTTTTTAATTGTTGGCAATGTGAACAAATTCTAAGAACAATTATAAAAAAGGATAGCTCTTAAATTGACAATTTTCATGTAAAACAAAGTCAAATGAACACCAAAATATAGATGATTTTTGAATTTTTTTTTTTTTGGCGGCAATGGAAACAAATTCTATGAATAATGGTAGAAGTGGATATTTCTTAAATTAACAATTCTCATGAAAAACAAAGTCAAACGAACACTAAATACACTTTTATTTCAACATTTTTCCACTTAGAAAATTATACCAATCAAACACTATCAATTGACAATTCCCAGTAAAATAATTTCTAAACAATTCAATTCCCTGAAATTTATTTTCTTTCCACTCAAATTTTATCTTTGCAATCAAACAAACCCTTATAGTAAACGATAATTAAGTCTTTCATCGCAAAATTCTATGAGAAGCATATATTAACTATTTACTATAGTTCTCACTCGTAACAAAGATATTTGAATTTATATATCCAATTTAATATAAATTATATTATTCCAATGTAGAGTTCAACCAAAGTGGTTGTTACAATTTCTCATCTGGTCGTGGACAAGGCGATCGACTAAAAGGCTAGTTTTGTACAGCTTGTTTGGTCCAAAAAATTGATTTTTTGACCGTTATTTCCTTATTTCAGCCGTCATATTTACTTTTTCTCTCACAGGTGAACCTCACTTTTCTTCTAACTGTCAAAAAATCAATTCTCAAAATCACTCACAAACAGGCTCGTAGTGTTACACAACTAGGAAGAAACTGATTCAAAAGAAATACTAAGGAGGTGTTTGATATACATTTTTATGTAAAAATACATTTTAAAATAATAAATTGATGTGAAATGTGTACTTGAGAAATAATGAAATTTTTTTGATTTACATGTAATATTATTTTAATAAAGAATGTGTTGTTGAAAAGAAGAGAGAAAAATGCATTTTGAAAAAAATGGCTACCAAACGAGGCCTAAATATTATCTTTCATCACACTCGATTGCTGGGATGATCACCTAATAGGTTATGTTTAACTAATTAAAACCAAGTCCCACTTAGAGATTTATCACTTGATAAAAAGAACACAGTTACAGTCTTATCTTTGACCTCATCCAAGTTCCCATTTTTTTCTTTTGATCTTTTCAGTAAAATAACACTTCGAGAAGTGTAAATAAAACAAAATTACATGAACAAGAGCAAATGCCACAGTTGAAAACGGGAGAGGAGAAAAAGGTTTAGAACTTAGATTAAATAATAAAATCCTATGAAGATTTGAAAATTTCAAAGCCATGCTGCTGATGCAGTGATCCAAAAACATTTATTCGAAGAAAAATCGAATCATCTCTCAATTACTTCTTTCATACGAGGAAATCGATCTGCCCAAGATGAATATTCTGCATTCAAGTTAATTATTCCAGTTAGCCCCATTAAACGTTACATAATTCGGCGAAGCCAAGAATCAAGAGTTGAACAAGTACCTGAAGTAACTATTTCACAAAGATCTGCTTCCGTGCTAGCATCATCAGACATCCCACCCTGCATTATGTTTAAAATTAGTCCGTTTTCATATCCTGAATTATATTTAAACGTATGTCAACAACTTATATCCTAAATTATCGATATAAAGTAACAAAATTGTACTGAAATATCATCTGAGAGAATAGAAAGGGATAATTAATTAGGAGCTATGGTCCATTTTTGGAATATTGAGCATTGGATCAATTCATTAACAAACTACACCACGCATACAATGAAATTATTTTTTTGGTGCCACATCATAAAGAAGCATTGTCAACCGAAGTAACAGCAAAAGAGCCTAAAATGGCAGCAGCAAGATATCCGAACCTAACACTAATTATGTAGGGAATCCTATGAAATATAAACCCTGCAGACTATTAACCTTGGATTATTGCCAATAGATGCACATTAAATCCTAATTCTTTGAGAGTGCTAAAGGTTTTGTAATTGATGTCCCTAATGCTAAATATACAAAATATCTAATCCAAATCAAGAAAACGCTTAAAAGTTTATCATTTTTGTGCAAGAAAGATTGGAAATGCTTATCATCCTTATTTTGGATAACTTCAGTCATATTCATAAATTGAGTAGTCTTTAACCCCTTTAATCTCCCACTACTGGTGGCCAACAGCTAGATTTGGTATGTCAGAAGATTATTATTGTTGAATCTAAGTCCTACATTGCATCCGCTGGTAAAAGAGAAATTGAATGTACAGTAAATAATCGGTATCTCAAAGTTCACCAAGAAATTATTAAACGCTGAATCCATATCTATTGATTTCTACCATAACCTTATGTGTTCGATCATATTGTTCTTAGCAAAACAAAATCCGTGAATGGGAAATAAGGAAGAGAAATAAAAAATACAATAGAAAAAAGAATAAGAAAGAGAAAGCATCTTGTAGATTACCTGACTACATATAGCTAAACTTTTCTTCACGAGTTGTGACAGACTAATCAGGCTGTCAATGTCAAAATCAGGATGACATAGAAGAGCCTCCTCTGATGTCGAACCAAGTATTAGCGCACAGATGCTTGATGCCATCATAATAGAAGATGGATCATTCTTCTTCTCTGCATAGCACATGTATATATTTCAACTGTTTCCACAAGGAAACAAAATGCAAAGAGACTACATGACATACAGTAAGAAATAACAGCAGGTACTTTGTCAAAGCAAAAGCAGATAAAAACAATGTAATGTCCGATCAACTTTGAATTAACGAGGCTCCTCCTCTTTTTTCATGTGCAAAAATGGTAATGCTAGTGAAAAGTTTCTGATAGACTCCTATCAACGTGAAAGCACCTAGAAGAATTGAGAAGCTTATTCAGTTAGAATAGATTCAGTTAGGGGCATGGTATTTTGGGGAATAATGGTGTGATAAGTTGCCTATAAATGTAATGGGGGAAGTATTGGGGGGAGTTCATGCAGAGAATTAGTTGATGAGTTAGGGGGATAGATATAAGCCTCTCGAATGCTTAAAATTGTTCTTTTAATTTCTATAATCGTCCTTTTTCAATCAAAAAGTCACTTGATCAATATTTGAATTTGTTCTTTCAAGTGGTATCCTATCAGTTTCTTTCCAGATAGGTAACAAGCCTTAGCAGTCCTTGAGCAAAGAGGACATTTGAGTAGAACTAGAAACTCATAGTACTCAAAAATTGTGTATTTGGTTCATACCCCAAATTAGTATCTCTAGGGAAGCTTAAGCCTCACTGTTAGTATACGAGTTCCCTAGCACTATGATAATTAACATATAATGTCTCAAATATTACTTCCTTTAGGATGAATTTAAACCAGTAAAGGGTCAATTAATTTATTCATTGACTGTTAAAGAAAATTCAGAGTCACTAAAGGTTCAAGAGGAATAAGATGACATTGAATGATACAACCATCTAAGCATATCCTAAACTAAATTCATCCCAATATGAATGCTAAAGGATCCATAATTTGTTCCTGATAGTGTACTAATGTAAACCACAAACAAGATTCAAGTCACTATCTTTTTCTCTTTACATGTCATTAACTATGTAGTTCACTTGCTCCACAGCCTTTATTTATTGCTCTGCTTTTCCCGTACACATTCTTCTCTTGCTTACTTTCTTCTTTCATTTTATCTGCTTATTCACATTCGGATATTTATTAATAAAGTGCCCTATCAACATGGATTCATGAGCTTACTTTTCCATAACACTAAAGGCAGGTCAAAAGAAATATAACATAACGAGTTGCAACGTTCAGATAAAAGAAAGTTTTTCTTTAATATAAAATGTAATGTCAAAACTAACATTCTTCTGGGCATTAACACACATGAGCGTACCTGTCAAATGTGACAAAGCTTGCAAAAGTTTGATAAAACTAGGATCATCCAAGGGAAAACAGATTTGCTCCCTCTATTCAGGAAAAAGTAATGAAAAAAGTTAACAGGCATTATTTCACGTAACAAAGGAAATGAAAATACCACAGGTATTATATATATCTTGTTATGTCCTGTATGAACCACAATGGCAATACCTTCAATAAAAAATTCAAAATCGTATCACAAGCCAAGAATACTGTACCACCATCCTCATCACCATTACTGTTTGATTCAATCAAACAAATAAGGCACCCAGCAACCTGCAAAAGAAGTCGGTATTCATATTTTTAAGAGAATGCAAAGAACTAACATTTTTTAGGCCATTGAACCATTATATGAATGTTTATTGCGAAAAGGTGGATTTTAAATGTGGGTTGGGCTAATGAGAATAGACAATTGTGATTGGACACATATTGAATGCATCAAGTCATTTCAGAGCATTGACTCACAGCTCTCAGGGCTCCAGATGAAGCAATATCTTTACATTCTTCAGTCCTCATTGTCATTTGACACAGCATGGGGAGTAAAAAGCAGATGGAGTGAAAAGGACTGCCATTTTAAAGCATGGTCAAATAGTTTCCATTAATAAATATATATATAGACGTAAATAACCTAAACAATAACTTAGAAATTATAATATAGAACGTTATGAAATCTATCATATCAAACCGATGCTCGTCTTCCCCTTCAACTGAAAGCATATAACTGAGAAGCTCCTTGACCTTCTCGTTGCATGCATGAGGTGCTTCGGCAAGATAACTGAAATAATAGTAGGTATGAGCATATCAGAAACTGTTCTTAGGTAATCAGTTCTAAAAAAAGTGAAACAATAACTAGGAGAGGACAATAAAATAAGAATGACAATGTGTAATTTAACATACTTCCCAACTATCCTCACTGAAGCTAGAAGGTCATCTCCTTTCTTCTGCCTGTGTTCCTGGCAAAAACATGATTGTAAATGCAGAAGTCCAAATATAAGTTGCTGTTCAAATAGACTATAATACCTTGGCATCTTGCAAATAATCAAGAACTACACCAACAGTCTCATTGAGACCAGAGATGATCTTCATGAAGGTGGTCTCGCTAATAATGGAATTTGAATTTAACTCTGCAAAAATAGTTTCCAACAAATCAGATGCAGCATAAGGAAACACTAGATCAGAACTTTTCTGATATAAAAAATTGAAGTAGACAATGTTGCGAACCTTGAACTGCTTAAAGTGCAAGTACAGTGACAGAATTCTTCACCCACACATAAAATACAAAAGCCCATCTAAGAGCTCACCTATATAAAATTGAAACGATTGAATTGCATGTTGTGGTAGAAGAAGTATCCACATTAGTTCATACTTATCAACAGCCAAACGATACTCTCAAGTCTCATGATATACTGAGAAAAAACATTGTTGTAAAAATTATGACCATTGGGAATTGAAAGTTGCGGGGCCACCCATGAAGAGTGGAAACATGAAGACTGTTTCAGTTCTTGATAAGTCCACATAAACATGATACTATAGGATGTAACAAAGAGTAGGCAAACTACTCGACCCATATGTATCTAAAGATGCAGGAGGCATTTACCACTAAAAAGTCTATATGTGCAAACACGCAACCATTGACAAACACAGCTTAGAAAAGTGAAGATCAAGTACCTTCACTATCCCCTAATTTTGAGATCAGTTTAATAATCTTTTCCACCAAAGAAAAGGCAACACCAAGATTCCTTTGCTTTGCCACAAAAGTTTCAGCATCAGATGAGGAATTCTTGGAGGCTTCATACTTCAGATATGCAAGCTCATTAAGGAGAACAGCAATTTCTACTCTAGATGACTCCAAAACAAGCAGAATACACCTGTAAAAAGGAAGTAGAGCAGAATTTTCTAGGTTACCCTACAAGGATGTTTGGAGAAGAAATTAAAAAAAATAAAATAAAATAACCATCAAAGGTCACTTTTACTACTCACCGATCAGCAGGAAAAGAATCTTTCACATTGGGCAAATTCATCGGCCCAATAAGCCATCCCTCGCCATCAATGGATATGACATGCTCAGCAAGAACAAGAGCCTGAAGCTTCTCAGCAGGTGCTGCACACAAAAAGCAAATAAGCTTCATCGAGCATGCTAAAGTTAGTAAGCAACATTGACCATTAATTGCATTTTGCTAAAAATTTCTCATTAGGTGAAAAAGTACCATAAAAATTGCAAAAGATGTGTCCAAACAACAACTGCAAAACTACTAGCAGTGAAGCTACTAGGCTACTAATTGACTAAGATGTCCCTCACCAAGCGGGCAAATTTAATTTTGAAGCAGAGAAAAAAGAAAACTGTAGCCTTACATAAAGCCGTATCCTTTCATAAAGCCTCAATCTCATGTAACATGTATAATTCTGTATCAGCCTTCACAATAAAATGCTTACTTTATTCACATAAGTAAAACATACCAACTCGATTTTGCAAAACAGCAACAATACCAATGCGCATGTTAGTTGACCAATCATCACCCGCCATTGACTGAAGCGCAACATTCAGAAATCCCTACATATCAAAAGAAGCCAAAGTGAGATTCTTTAATGTACAGATTGCAAGTTAAATGATGTTAGTCGGGCAAGTAAATTATCAGTCGACCACTAGGCATAGAACAACCACCAACTTAGTTAGCACTTGAAACTGATTTTAAAGAGTAGGGAGATGAATAATTTAAAAAATCTAATATAGTGTAAGTTAACACTATAACACAAGATTCTTCGACTGTCAAATCAACAGCACAATAACAATTATCCAATGAGCTACTGACTCCTAATCTCACCCACAGCACCATCGAAACAACATATAACACAAGCTATTAAGCTCCCCACCACACACCCCTCCCATGAGAAATAACTCTCATATTAATATGCTAGGGTAGGAGGCAGTGTCAACCCCCCCCCCCACCCCAATTCAAGTCTCTTGCCTACCTCTGAATCGCTTTCATTGGGGAAAAAAATAGAGCTACTAGCTTTGGTGTAGTTTGAAGTGAGAGGTACAAGTATGAAGGCAATGGTTAATTTATTTTTTACTTTTCTCTAGACAAAATTGATTCTATGTTCTTAATTTAAGAAAGAGAGAGACTGAACTAAAAATTACTGACCAAGGTAGGGGTTGCAATAACGAAGAAAAGATGTCTCTTTAGATGGTCAAAGAGCCAAAAGGTCCAAAGATTAAATAGATAGCAAGGAGTAAAGTACCATTTTTAACCTAGAAATCAGAGAGCAATAGCAATTTAGGAAAGACTTTTACTGATAAAATTACACGTGCATGTTACAAAAATCTTAAAGATATTTCTTTCACCAAATGTGTGTCAACATAAACTTTCATACCGAATAATTTGAGGATAGAATAGCAGAGAGGAGGTGAAGCGCTTCAAACTTCAAAGCGTTGTGTAGCACAGCAAATTGTTTCGCTATAGCAGCAACCTGAAACGGTGAAGAGAGAAGTTCCCCACTTAACTTAAAATATAAATATAACAATCAAATTGTATCATAGTTGACACAAAAAGAAAAGAATTTAAGCACATGGAAGCTCACCATCTTTGACAGCTCAGATGGATGTTCAACATAGAATTTTTCTGCTGGTAGCTTGCTTATCATCAATTGAATGAGTTTCATGGCAAGCTCCATTGTATGAGAACCTAAGAAATTTATTAAGTCAAATCTTACCAAAGCAAAACTACTTGCACAAAACTCAAAAACTACTACTTTCATAAGTTTCTCATCAGTCATCATCCTCCAATAAAACTGCTTGAAAAACTATATGGCCAAGATTGTCTAGCTCCATCAGGTTATTGTTTCAAATTTACTATTCCCCGTACAACAAAATTGAGGCAATGTGTGGAAATAATAAGATACAAAATATAATGCAGAACAGGAAAGAGAAACAAGAGAAGAAAGAAGAGACAGGAGTAGAAGAATTTTTGGAGCAAATTAATATTGAGAATTTCTTCAAACTAATAAACGTGGTAAGAAAATAAACCAAAATCTATTATTTATTTTCACAACTAGAATAAGAGCTTTTTTTTAAGTCTTCAATACAATCTGCATCACGATATCCATCAGCCAGATAGGAAGAAGTTTTATTTTTTATATATTAATGGTTCATTTCTTCAGTAATTTTCAGAAAGGGTTGATGCTAGATACCCTCTGGCAAAGTGGGCATTTGAGATGCCAGTATGTTCATGCCTCCTGATTCATATAATGCTACAACTCCTTCCTCATGAGCAGATGACACCAAAAATAGAAATTCATAGCACTCGTCAATGAAAGGTGAACTAGACCTGCAAGTCGAAGCATCATCTAATTAATACAAACTATATCGTAAAAGACCACAGTGAATCACATGAAGCAGCAAGTCCAGTCCAAAAATCAAATTAATACAGATCTATATCATACAATATATGCTTCCTCCTATCAGTAAGTATACTTGGCTTCCTTGATGCATACAACATCTCATGGATTAAGAGAAGTAAATAAAGGAAAAAAAAAAAAAATGAATAAACAAGATCTCCTAGACCTTTTACCAATATTCAGCTACAACATGCTGAGCATCAGATACAACCTCAAGAATGAAGTGGACAAAATATTTGTTGGGAACATATATAGTATGTCTAACACTACAAAATTAGAGACAAATTAGCTTCGTCAAGAGATTACTCCTCTTCATCTCATCCAAAAAGCACAGTCATGGATTATACAAGCTCAAACCAGTTATCCCCTAATTCAATGTGTACTCCGTACTTATATATTTTAGTAATAATTATGTGAGTGCATCTATGGCATAGTATTTCTTTGTTAATACCCAGTCCTGAAAAAACTGAGATTGAAGCATTAAAAGATCCTTTTCTGCGATGACCTCCATATTAAGACTTTAACCACAATAGTCAACTACAAGAAGCACTATTTAAACTGTAATCCACAAGGAAGCTAATACATGGATGAGCATTGAGAAAATATAATAAAATCCAAACTTTGAACGAATAAAATTTTACATACACGTTTGACATAACCTCCAAAAACAACGGAACTTTTGAAACCATCTCTTCACTAGCAGCAATCTCAGGAACCCTAGCGAAGGCCGCCAGCACCGTCACGGCTAACTGCAAGTAAGCCTCCCTATTAGCATTATCTCCTCCACCATCCCCCTTCCCCATCCCTGCCATAAAAAAAGTGAAAAATTAAGTTTTTTTTTAAAAAAATAATTAATTAATAGAATTCATCGGCGGGTACCGGTGAGTAAGAGGCGGTGGAGGAAGCTGGGGCCGACAGCATCGTAGACCTTGTGAACGGTTTGTTGATTGTCCTTGTCACAGAATTTGGTGACTAAGAGTAGGCCTGCGAGTCTTTGAGAATCGTTTTCTCCTTTCAGCAGCTTCATGCAATCTTCAAGTGACGGCAAAGAGGAAGAGGAAGAGGGTCTTGACGAAGTGGAAGCTTCTTCAATCTCCATTTTTGTACCTTGAGGGAGAAACGGAGGACAGTTTTTCTTTTGTTGTTTGTTTGTGTAGTGTGTGTGCGTGGGCGGGGATTCTGCAGTCTGCAGAGGGAGAACGACGAATTTGACTTCGAGCGGATTCGGGAAGGGAGAAGACGGTTGTACTCGTTATTCGGGTTTTTTGCACCATTTTCCCCCAACTTTTGAGTAAAATAGCAATCTACCCCTGATCTTTTTATCACAAAAATGGTTCCCAACTTCTCGTCGATTAGCATAATTCGCCCCTCTTTATGTTTTTGAACCAAAATTATGTGTCACAACTGTAATTGCAATTCAAGGGCTATTGTTGATCATCTCTAGAGATGGCAGGGATGACAACGAGTCGAGTTGAGTCAACTTGCGAGTCGAAAATCAAAGTTCGGGCTCAGCTCGAGCTTTTTGAAAATGGGCTTTTTTTGGCCCGAGCCTAACCGAGCAAAAGCTCAGCCTGAGCTTTCAGATTGGGCCTTACCGAACCAAAATGGGCCGAGTCAAGTCGAGCCAACTCGTTACCCCCCCGCCCCCTTCTTTTTCCTCCCTTTCAAAGGTAGCTGGTAGCTGCCTTTAAACAAAGGCAGCGGACTGCCTTTACAAAGGCAACAGCTTGACGCCTTTTCATTTTATTTTTTTTTTTCGAGTCAGCCTGCGATTCACACGGCCAGGCTCGGGCTCGGCCCAAGCCTAGACTCGGTTTGACCGAGCCTCGAGCCAAGTCTGCTTGAGCTTTTTGCGGATCGAGCCACGAGCAGTTCGAGCCCTCGAGTCTTTTTGTCATCCTTAATCATCTCCCTATATCAAGAAGAGATCATGTAACGAAGAAGATTCTTGTTTGTTCAAATGATACACTTTTTTTAAGTCCCCATATTCTCTCGTGGAGCGACATGGGGGCAAAAAAAGGAAAGAGAGAGAGATGATTTCTCAAGCTTTTGGTTTAGCGTGCCTGCAATAGGAAGCTTGCTTGTCCGTCAATAAAGATTGTCGTTTTATTGTTATTAATATTTGTTATTATTTGCTATATAATTGATGATAATTTCATATAGTTTAGACTGTTATTTGGCTTGCATCTCGTCCAAGATATATGTCATGATTGGAGTGTTAAATTATCTTGTCGAACAACATTGTAGGACCACTATCATACAAGCAAAGTTAGAAAAGAACAGTAACGATGTTGAAAACTATAAAAAGGTTTTTATGGCGGATTTTATCAAGACTTTGCTTAAATGGTAATAAGATAAAAAATGTTCACTGAATTAGCTCGACTCTGTGATCGATTATGGTAATAACATTCATGCGCGCATACGAATTACAAATTCAAGTATTTCCAAATTGAAAATAACCAATTCATGGTTGATTTGCCACATCATATAGGCATAAATTAGTGTTATAGAATGTTAAGAATACGTTTCACTTTTTTCCAGTTGCTGCATACTCCATCCATATTATTTATATATGCTGATTTGGTTTTCACACGAATTAGAAATCTTATTTAATATTATTGAAAAAGCAATTTTTACCAAAATTTTTTTCTAATTTACCCTTAGTTATATTTGTACAATTTCAAAATTAAGTGGAGAAAAATTGATTATAACTAGATAAATTAAATAAAAGCATATTAGTAAACAAACAAAATAAAATATTTTCAACTATATAATAGGGATTAAAAAAATAAATAAAAAAATCAACGTATAAATGATACTAGAGTATTTTCTATGTTATATTCTTTCTATAAAAGAAAAAAGATTCTATTTAAAAAGCCAAGAATGAAATTTAGAGCGTTGCACAAATTCCTGCCGTATTCGATGCTCATGATATTCCACAACAAATATATACATATAGTTATTTTAATTAATTTCAATTATCATTTAATTTCCTCTGAGCAGTATTCGAATTAAAGAATGAATCACGCTTAATGAACAATATTTTTGACAACATTGTTGATAAAATGTCACATGATATGTTGTCATTAGATAGTTTCAAAAACAGTTTCTCTTCCCCCATTCAACACCTTTTTCCCACCTACTAATATTGTCAACAATGTTGTAATATAACGTTGTATTAACAAAACATTGTACAAATGACATTTCTCCAAAAATTGCTTAAAAATAGATCACTGCTGACTTCAAGTACTCAATTCAGGGAAGCAGGCGGCGAAGCCTCCACAAGTAACATTGGCATTAACAACCCTGCTACACAAATAGGAACCTAACAGGTGACAGGGTGACGTGTTACATGTAAGAAGGATCAACCATACTACTGTAACATGGAGGGTTCGACACCCTACCAACCGATACTCACAAATAAGGGGCGGGTCCCACTTTTTTTTTAGCATCTCTTATTCAAATGAAATCCACACTTGTGAGTGAACGTCAACCAAGTGGGTAAAAAACCTCAGCGAGGTGGTGACCTCAATCCTCGTTGGAAAAACCTCTTTTACCAGAGAGCATCAAAATTCTGGCGATAATTTTCTTCGTTCTAGGAATTTCTGCATGCAATTTACTCGTAAATATCAGTTTTTTTTAATTATAGGATTTTACTTGTGAATATTAGCGTGTTACAGCCACATTATTTTGAAAGAACATTTTAAAATAGTAGATTAATAAAAAATGTGTAGTTAAAAAATAAATTTTTTTTTAAATTTACATGTATTATTATTTTATTGAAAAATGTGTAATCAAGATGATATCAAATCAATGCTTGAATGAAATTTTTTTTTTTTTTTAATAATGCGGCTCAAATGGGGCCTTAGTTTTAATTATTTATTAAAATATCAAATTTACTGTTCATTTTCTCACCAATCAACGAATTTACCGGTCATCCACGTAAAACCACAATATATAAGAGGCAGCACAGAATAGAAAAAAATCCAACTTACAGAGATTCAATTCTAAAAACTGACAACTAGAGAATATATAAATTGGCAACTTAGAAAATTCAAAACCTCAGTAGTGACAATCGAACAACTCAAAGAAGTAAAACAGTCTTAAGAGACAAAATTCAAATCACCAAACTCACATCCCTGTAAATGCCTTCTTGCCGAGACCAGACGAACCAGCTGGTATCACCTTCAGAACATTGAATCTAACCGTTTTTGATAAAGGCCTGCAAAGTAATTCACATCATAAAATAAAATTCCAGAACATAGTTACAAAAAAGTTAAATAAATATGCTTTTGTACTTACCTGCACTGGCCAATAATAACGTGGTCGCCCTCTCTCACACGGAAGCATGGCGATATGTGTGCTGGAATGTTTGAATGCCTCTTTTCATATCTGGAAAAGAATCAATATTTAAAAATAACTTATGTAAATGCAATACATAAAGAATTGTGATGATACTAGAAAGGCATCAGATCATACCTCTGGTACTTCTTAACCCAATGCAAGTAGTTACGACGAACGATGATTGTTCTCATCATCTTGGCACTGTGGCATGTACCAGCAAGAATACGGCCTCTGATGGACACATCGCCTGTGAAGGGACATTTCTTGTCGATATATGAACCTGAAGGAACAGAAAAGAACTGGTGCTAATCAGATATTCATTAGGTTAGAGGGATATTGATAAAACTATCATAGATAATCATGCAGTAGGATAACATGTAGAATTTACACACCTACACCTTGCAGGCAGCCAGGCTTTAAAAATATTCAGATGCGGCAAGGACCACCCAGCAATTATAGAAAACAAGATAATTGTGATTGATTCAATTGCATGACATTTCATGAATTCAATTTCTTAACCTAGAATAAGGGCTGCAATTTAAATATGCGTGCACCCGCTAATTAGCAATTCAAATGAATCAATCTAAGCCCTTGTTTGTCTACCATTCTCCAAATACTTTTAACCAAACATTCTCAAAAAAATTACAATTCCAAAACTCATTTTCCACCAAAAAGGCTTTTTAATGGACATCAAACAGGGCTAAATTAAAAAGAAATCATAACAAAGTCAACAACTGATTTTAACAACACATTTCATGGACTCAAACCTTTTTATCAACTTTTCAACCACACTTTTATCAATTTAAGCAAAAAGTCTGAATTTTAGTTAAACCAAACAAGGGATTAATATAAAACGTCTACTTGGATTAAACCAAACAAGGGATTAATATAAAACGTCTACTTGGATTAAAAGCTTGTTTGAGTCCCATTTTATGCCAAAAATGCATTT